CTTTCCACCCTCGTCTCCCTCCCTCACCCCTCCCCCTCTCTCCTCACCCTCCCTCCTCCTCCTCCCCCCGCCCACAACAGTGTAGCAGGCAGCGAAAAGGATGAACATAGACCCATGTCCGAGAGCCATGGGCTGGGGTTGCCTCGCACTCCGACTTCATTGATCTGGAGTTTTCATCATTCCTGCCCTCGTCAGCCCTCGCCACTTAGCTTAACGCAAATAACCGCATTCTCCCGGATTGTTAGCCGGCTATTTTCAATCTCAATCCAGTATTGAACTGGTGCCACCGAGTTACAGAGCAATAGGAAAGGACAGAAGGAGGAAGAGAGGAAAAAATAGACAAGTGGGAAGCGAAAGTGGTAGGAAGAAAAAAGACAGGAGAAGGAAGAGGAAAATATAGACAAGTGAAAAGACAGGGGTGGGAAGAGAAAGGCTGAAGGAGGGAAGGGAAACGGGCTCAAGATTTCTTTAGCCTCCCCTCTGTTAGAAATCTTGTTGACTTCTTTCAGTTTCTTCTGGACTTCTTAAAAAAAAAAATAATAATAACATTCTGATCGGATGCTGTATTATGATAAAAGAGTGAATTGTTGTATTGGTATACATTGACACTTCTGTGTCTCAAAAAGTATGATGCACATGCACTTATCATGCCCCAAATATTTTTTCTTTTTGTATGTTTTCTGACTCTTGTTGGTGGAAAACATGTTTCTTTTTAGAAAGTTCTGTTTCTGCGTTAACTCATAGATAATGTTATTTGCCCATTCTTTTTCTCTTCAGCATTGCGTTAACTCATAGATAATGTTATTTGCCCATTCTATTTCTCTTCAGCATATATCTTAATCTGTTGCTTACAAAAGTTGGCTTTTATCATGCTTACTTTGTACTAACAACTCTTATAGCAGTAGCAGATATTGGTCGGCCAATGTAGACCAGATAAAAAAATCAGTACCTTTTTTTTTTTTTTCCAGGAACGATGTCAGGTTTTCACTTGGATTGATGAGCTGGGGGAGTCGCATTTGCTTATACGACCTCCAGAGGAGGTCAAAAGAAGGTTGATGGAGATGCTTCTGCATAATTGCTGTACTGATATTCGCAATGCCGGTGTGTGTTTGTGGGTTTGTTTGTTGTTGGGTTTTTTTTGAAACAGCATTTCATTTTTGAAACTTATTGTTTTGTCAGCTTAAATCCCTTTTAGTATACTGGGTCAGTGTTTTTGTTTGCTGGCTTTGCTACTGAGAACAGTGGCAGCCAAACAGGAAGCCCTCTTCTACAAGCATACCCAGTGCTTAAGGCATAAATTTAGGCCCAACCTTAGGCAGGAAGGCCCGAAACTCTTTGGGAGCCTGGAGGACCTGTGGCAAATTGTAGCCTTCGTAGGAGAGATGGGGATGTCCATTTAGAGATGAACGAGAAGAAGTTTGCTGGCTTTTGAATTCAATTTAGAAATGCTTCTACATCTAAAGGAACGGCAATATTTTTTTTCTTATTGTTGATTTGTTTTGTAAGTTTTTGTTTTGTCTTTTCTGTGCTTATGGGAACCATGTAAAGAAAGAAAATTGTTAGGAAGTCCCCCTGGCTTCCAGTGTTTTTCATCATCGAGTGTACAAAGCTGAGGCAATGCTGGTGTTGATGCTGTCAGTTCATGATGTGTATAATAAATTCAAGTGAATGTCTACGTACTTAAATTTGTATCCACTTTGTTTATGTTAGCAGTGATTGATGCACATTTTAAAAATGTGTTTTCTGTCCAGTCCTGTGATAGCTTTCTTTCTTTCTTTTTTTTTTGCTAAGTAGTGGGGCCAGTGCTCTGATCTTGCTTTTTTTGTTGCGAATGCAGGCCAGGCAATTGCGTCGCAGTCAGAGAATGCTATCGAGTTGATCCGATTGGTTCAGAGCTTTGTGACGGGTGCTGATGCTTCCCTGGACAGGTTTTCTATTCGAGTGAGTGTAAAAAAATACTCAATCTAATGGCTTCTATCAAATGTGTATTATGAGCTGGTGGCTGGAGGGTGCCAAGTGGATGTAATTTCTTTGATCATCTTAATCATTTTGGTCCTTTTTACATCATGTAATTGAGACTGCTTGCTTCTATTTAATACAAATTTGAAACACTATAAATAACTTGACAAACAACTGGGATTTGATTGCTTAAAGTAGACAGGGCTACAGAATATGTTAGATGCTGCAAACTGATTTTGAAAAATTATGCAATGTGAATATGAGGAAGGGTTAGTAATATTCATTTTTTTAGTTACCGGTGTCATTAAATTGAGAATACAATGAATTAAATAATACAGACCCTTGTCTCATTAAATAAAACAGTCTAATGAAATTCAAAATAAAAAGATGTCCGACTAATTACCATTGTTCTTTAAAAAAATTAGATTAAACAATATTAGCATTCTGTAAGTTCCTATGGCTGGCCAACCTTTCTGTTTGAATAAAAAGAACTGCTTCCAAACTTTACCACTGACAATGTTACACTCCACTTCCAAACTTTATCACTGACACAGTTACACTGGTAATTCTGTTGGTCCTTTGTATTTCCTAAATAATATCTTCCTCACAGCTCTTGGAGGATGTCTGGTCTTTGCTGGATGTTCTAGGAGTCTGGGACACTGAGTCGGGGCTAGCATGGACAGAAATGGTCCACAGAGGCATTTCTTTGCTTCTGGCCTTCTCGAGACAATCAGACCTAATGGTGAGTTGTTGCTGGTTTTTGGTTGGCCTTTTTTTTTTTACCACCCCAGTTGTTTAAACATAAAAAAATTTTTTTTTTCAGAATTCAGTTCAAATTTTACTTTTCAGTAAACACGATGACAACGCAATTCTACCAGGACATTTAAAGTATTTATAGTACCAGTCATTATACTCAATTTTGACAGGATTCCAACTCAAGTTGGTGCTTGATTTTCACTTGTGATGTCGTATCCATAATTGTCGTTACTGATTCAATAGAAGCTAGGGTCTATATGCTCAAACTGTTTCTGATGTCTGACTGTTTTGTTTTCTTCTATAATACTGGCAGCTTATGAATCCCATCAATTTTGATTTTGAAAAAAAATTGTTCCTTGATGAAATGGATTGTAGAAGTTAATGTTGTTCTTTTTTCTGTCAAAGTGAGATTAAGTAGTTGTCCCTTCAAGCATTTTTGATTGTCCTTCCTTGAGTGAATGGTAGTTAATTGTAAAAGAACGCATGCATAATATTGTTTTGAAAATTGGTACATTGAAAGTATTATTGTACTCCGATGTGTCTTTCTCTTTTAGCTGGTGTCAGCAGCAACAGTCAAACTCCATGCTTTGGTGCAGACGAAACTAATCAGCAGCTCGGCTGAGGCCTCATATATCCTGGGAGTTCTCAATTCAATGATTATTAAAGCCATTGAAGGTAAGTATACGTTGTATGGTTAAATAAAGAAAATACTGAAATAGCTTGGTGAAATTCACAGAGGAGTAGTTTTTTAACCTGACTTGAAACATCTGAGTAACATTAAAATGATGGAATACAGTCTCGTATCAATTTATGATCTGGTTTCGTGGTCTGAAATTTATACAAAGGGCATATTTTGGTTATTTTGCTTCTGTTTTTAATTGTTGTATTTTGTAAAAGAAGGAATGAATATGCTATAAGGGTGGATTAAGATAAGTAGTGCCGCTTGTTCTCTTTTTACAGCCAATTCGGACAACTACGCCTACCTCATGACAGTTCTCCGAGCACTAATTGACAAGGGACAGGAACTCCTCACCATCAGTGTCCACCTCCCACATCTACCGCAGACCTCCATGAGCCCGACTTTCTTCGATGACTTCAAAACCTACGCCTACAGTGAAGAGTGGCAGCAGTTTATCAAAAATTATGTATGCTGCTGAAAAAATATCACGAATATTATCTTGCTTCAACTTAAAATGAGATTCAAGCAAACTGTAACTTTAAATTACGGGGGAAAAAAGTTCCATTCATTTTTTTTACTTCTTTTAATATGGATAATTTAACCAACTTTGATATTCGCACATGACTTGATCACTCCAGCGCCTACGTTTGTCCTCTGGTACTGAAAGATGTTCGTAGGAAAAATAATTTTATTCATACTCCTGCTCTAGTTTTATTTCCAACTTAAATTGTACAGATCTTTGATAGCTTAACACTATTAATATTTATATGTTACTGTTCATTAATATAAGTTTTATTTCCAACTTAAATTGTACAGATCTTTGATAGCTTAACACTATTAATATTTATATGTTACTGTTCATTAATATAAGTTTTATTTCCAACTTAAATTGTACAGATCTTTGATAGCTTAACACTATTAATATTTATATGTTACTGTTCATTAATATAACGCATGTTACTGTGAGCCTGTTTGTGAGTGCAAGCATACCATTTTATTATTATGGTTATGTGCTCAGATGTGTGTGGAAAGAGGATGTGTTAGGGAAGAGTGTGTGTGTGTATGGATATGCACATGTGCGTGCATATGCATGTGTGTGCATGTTTGTGTATATGTATGTGTGTGCATGTTTGTGTGTGTGTGTGTGTGTGCGCGCGCGGGTGCGTGCTTGCGTGCATGTGTGCGCACGCACGTGTGTGTGTGTGTGTGTGGTGAAACACCTTACCAATGTACCTGGATCTGGACAATAAAGATGTATATTATCTTATCTTATCTTAAGGAAAGTATCTCATTCTTAACATCTAATGCCTTTCATTGTCCCGATCCTGTCAGATCGCGCCTCAGATGAGCCACTTCATGGAGAGCAACTTTGAGGAGGGTGTCATGTCCATGTCCCAGTTCTGGGCGGACTGCCACGAGGACATGATGATGAACCACCACAGGCACAACAGGGAGATTGGGGAAAGCCGGCTCAAGTACAAGGTGGGACGCAGTGAAATAGTGCTGTTTTTTTTTCCTTAAATTGAAATAAAAAAATATACAGTCAAACCTGTGTAAGACGGCCACCCATTGTCAAGGGGAAAAGTGGCCGTATAAGACAGGTGGCCGTCTTAGGCAGGACTGATCAAGATGAAGAAAATGAACCATTCCCATCTGAGGTCCCAATCGAAAGTAGCCGCATTGTTGCTGTTTTTGTTGTTGGTGGTGGTGGTTTGTATTTTGTTTGTAATTTTTATTTTGTTGCTGATTTTGCACCAGGGTGACAATAAAACGAAATGTATCAGACGAGGAAGACCGAGTGCCATGTTAAAAAAACCACATGGGTCGCCACCACTCAGAGAACGAGCGACGCTTCTGTCACAAGTTCATGTTGATGTCCTTTGTTACTTTGTTACAGACTGGGTAAACAGTGACCACTCATCCCACTTACGATTTGATTATGAGTTCTGGGCGGGGCTTATGGGTGTGAGGGATCACACGCTTACCTCACCAGCAGCTCTAAATTGGTAGCTATTGGTCAACAGTGGGAGGGGGCCTACGCAACATGATCGGTTGGAGGGACTACCTAACAACAATGAAGGTGATTGAATTATGACGCCTCTCCTTCAACGCCAGGGGCCAATGCACAATTTATGACAAAACGTTATTAATGGAGTCACTAATGTGGCCGTCTAAGACAGGTGTTATTGCTTTGTGTGATAGGGGTTGTGTGTTAAAATAAGTTGGCCGCGACCACGTTGGACAGGTGCCCGTTTTACACAGTTAAATTTTATAGAAAATATGCTAGGGGGGAAATGGAAAGTGGCCGTTTGTACAGGTGGCCGTCTTATAGAGGTGGCCGTCAGGGCAGGTTTGACTGTATATATAGTGTGCATTCACTTTTTTATTGTAACACAAAATACACATACACATCCAGCATTATTGCAACACATCTCAACATCTCTGCCTGCCTGCCTGCCTGCCTGCCTGCCTGCCTGCCTGCCTGCCTGCCTGCCTGCCTGCCTGCCTGCCTGCCTGCCTGCCTGCCTGCCTGCCTGCCTGCCTGCCTGCCTGTCTGTCTGTCTGTCTGTCTGCCTGCCTAACTACCTGCCTGCTTGTCTGTCTGTCTGTCTGTCTGTCTGTCTGTCTGTCTGTCTGTCTGTCTGTCTGTCTGTCTGTCTGTCTGCCACACAAACACATTTGCACGCACAACATGGTAACTATAAGGACAAACACGAGAAATAAACGAAACTGACGAATAGTTGCTGTGTGATAAACAATGACTGTTTTACTTTGATGTGAGTTATGATTAAACTGACCTGATAATCATAATTTAACTCTGGTAATATTGAACATGTTTCTTTGCTGTGAAATGGAGGGTGGCAAATAATATGTGCTTGATTAGAAGTGATTTTTGTCCCCCATACAGGAAAGAAATTCTGTTACTTAAATGTGGGCTGTAGCGAATCATTTTCAGTCTTCACTAGTGTATCATCTCTTGATTTTTTTGACTGAATATTGTAAGTTGTTGTTATGTTTAATTCTGTATCCTTCTCAAGTCAGCAATTTGTACATCATCTAAATAATATCCATGCTGTATGTTGGAGGAATTGTAAATGTGAAGTTTATCGAGTCATTTTCCTTTCTTACTGCCTTCATGAAATGTGAAATAGCTTTTCGATACTTTCTTTCTAGAAAAATATAGAAGAGGCATACAAGAAGAAGGTGGAGCAGGAGAACCGTCGCTTCCAGAATGGTCTGACCCAGCACAAACATCAGCTGTTGTTTGCCATGCGCCAGTGGCGGGCGACACGGAGGTTCTTCACAGGGGAGCGGGGTATCTGGAGAGATAGGTGAGCTGGCCAGCTGGCTTTTCCCTTTAGTAAGCATTTTACAGCACTTGCAACACTATTAGGTCATATAAGTGCCAAAGATTAGAGGTGTTCAAGAAGAGTAACGAACCTCAAAAAAGGAGAGATAAGAACAGTGGATGTTTGATAGGAAAGAAGGAGTCAACCACACCAGAACATCTGCCAACCACAATGATCTTAAATGCGGTAAATGATTTCAAATTGTGACAAACAATCATTTAGATTTGCCTTTTGAATAAAATTAGTTTAAATCTTACCCTTTATTGGGGAGGGATTAAAATCTTTTATAGGCTGGTATAACGAAGTGAGCTTAAGTAGACTGTAGTACCTATAGGAACAAAAGCAATTAGCAGATGACACCATTTTGTGCCGTGGTTTGGGTTTAAAGCTCTTTTCAATACTGAAGTTATTCAAGGGGCGAAATTTCTGATTTAAATCAAAGTCCTATCTTCATCAGGTGGAGAACCTTGAAAAAAATTCCCTAACAACTCAAAGTGGAAAACACCCCTTCTGGGATTCAAAACATGGTCATTCACACTGTAGCCATTCATGATACCAACTGAGCTAATAGTGCACCCTGTCCCCATCAATGTTGAGCTCACTATTTTGTTTAATATCTTTACCTTTGCCTATACCCCTGGTGTCTCTGCAGCGAGCATGAAGAGTTGGTCCATTGGAAACTGTCCTACCAAGAGAATTTTGCCCGCATGAAGGTGAAGCTCACGCAGAATTACAACTTTGAGGACCACGTCAATGCTAGTGTCCTGCGAGACAATGGAGGTGAGTCCATAAACATTCTGGAACATCTGCTTTGGTGTCAGGAAAATTTGAGAGAGAAAAAAAGCTCAAATTGAATTTTTTGTTGGTTACGTTTCAGTGTTTTTGATGTTGTATTTTGTAAGATTATCTTATTTTATTTCTTTATTTATTAAAAGTTTTTTGGGTTTTTTTGGAAAGGGGGGAGTGGTGTGAAACCGAGATATTTATTCTTTTTTGTCTAAATTTGTATATTAGTTCAATCTTATTCAAAGTAAATGATACAAAATGGACGACTTCGTTGTACCCCCGGTGCGGTGCTACTGACTGAAGTGTCTTTAGGCCATTCCCAAAGGGGGAATATTTTCTTATGCACAGTAGAATTGTAAATGGGCTGATTCATCGATGCCATGCTCATAACTGTGCCTGAACTGCAATAGGGAACTGCTGCCTTTATTTCCTGGACTGCAATAGGGAACTGCTGCCTTTATTTCCTGGACTGCGATAGGGAACTGCTGCTTTTTCTTTCCTAATCCTTACTATCGTCATTTTCCTCTACTTTTGTGTGTTTGTCACACTCTTGTGACCCTCCATTTCCGGGATGCCTTATAGTCGAAGCAGACTTTATGCTGTTGAAGCTAAAGAGGTGAGCAGAGTAAACCTAATTCCCAGTAAAGACTTCTCTGTTGACATCCACCCCTTGGCGTTCGTATGACCTTATACATTTCCGAGCGCCGTAAAAACTCTACTTAAAAAAAACAAAAAACTGAATTGATTGTTGCCAGAATGGGGATGTTTGTATGCCCTTGGGCTTTGTGAAATTCACTTGTCGCAAAGTGGGGATGGTTATTTAAGGGGGCTCGCAGGTCGGGTCAATTGCCTTGGGGACTGATTTTCACTCACTCTGAGCACTTTTTACTTTTGGTATTTTCCGATCCCTCATTCTGTCTAGATTAACATTAACAGAATTCAATTTTATTGGGTTCTACGTTGTGTACTAATATTTTCAATGTTTAACATTGTTTTTCTCAGAACACACTTTTTTACCACTTTTTGCTTGCATATGCTTTTCTTTTTCTCCTCCATTTTTCTTATTTTCCAACACAGAGACTTGAAATTTGGCTTGTTGTTAGAGAAATGGTTTGGACTTATAGTGGGCTGGTTAGTTTTTTTACATTTTGCTTTAGAGTTTTTTTACAATTTTTTCTTCATTCGGAAGATATTTTTAAAGATCAAAGTCCATATTCCTAACTTTGAGAACAATTTTAGATGCTTTCTAAGTATAGTATTAAAAATCAAAATAGTCATCTGCAAACACCTTTTTACTCGTGACATTTTGCAAGTTACAGAATTTGAAAAAGTTAAAAACTGTAAAAATGGTGGGGAAAAAAAGAATTACATCCAATTTTCAAGATGGCCACTGTTTCCATGGCAACGACTTATGTAACCGAGTTTGTCAACAGTTGAACATTATTCTTTTGTCTCATATTTACTGCCTGTGACAAAAGTTGTTTCAGTTTGTCTTTAGTTAAAGATGTAGTCTCGTAAGTATCAAGCCCCCTTAAGAGACTGTTGTCCGCCAATAAGTGGAGACGCCTCAAACAGTCCAATTTTGATAATGACATCGTGGGGATTGGAGTCCGGGTAACCCAAATATCGCCACATATCAGTCAGACATGATACCCTCTGAGATCATAGTGTTGCGCAATGACGTGCTTCAAATGAGGGGAATATTCTGTGTATAAAGTTTTTAAATTCTTGATCAGCTTCCCGAAAGTGCTTCTTAGTGGTACACAGCACAAAACATACGGGTGTAATGTTCTTTTGTATGAGACTTTGAGGGAACAGTGCAACATTTCTTTCAAGTTGCTTTTTTTAGTGGTTTTTTGTTTATTTTCAGTATACTAACAGTGAATAAAAAGAAAAATTTATTCTTATTGTTTTTTTTTTTCATTCTCAAGTAATCATATGAATGTGACCTTTCCCCTAGGTGTTGTTGAGACGAACAAGTCACTTCGTCTAGAGGAGCTCTCCGCTGTTAAAGGTGCTCTTGTGTCGCAGGAAAATATGGCTGATGACTCTCTGGGAGATGAGGAGTGGAGTGTGATTTCCGCTTCCAGGTGAGGTTTGCTCTCAGAAAACTGGGGTTCTGATACATTTTAGCTTGGTACTTAAAGGGAATTTACATAGGTAAGCAGGTAGAAGTGGTAGCTGTCTTCTCCTGTCACGTGGTCTCCTGCTTTTATTTTCCTAGAAAACATGCTCTAACAGCCACCTGTCCAAGACAATCACTTGTACAAGAGACCACTTCCCACTTCTCCTTTGTGCTTTTTTATATCATAATGATACAAAGATGTATACCTGTCTAAGACACCCACTTTTTTCCTTGAAAATGGGTGGCTGTCATGGACAATTTCTATTTATGTATGTGTTGTTGTTGTTAGCGATCCAGTAGCATTTATGTGTGTAAAGGTCTGGATGTGTGTGTGTTTTTGTAAAAGGAATTTTTAAAAGTCTATTTAAAGACAGTCTTTACTGCTTCTGCACCTGATGACGACATTTTTGTGACCTTTAGGTTTTGTAATATTCTTCATGTCCAATGTCTACTATCTCCAGCACAAATTTGGAGGCATACACTGGCAAAGAGAAGCTCATCATCTCTGCTGACTGTGTCCTCATCACGGTGATGGACGAGGTGCGGGGTCGGCTGGAGCTGACCAACACTCATCTCTACTTCTTTGACTGCAGTCCGCACAGGGATGAAGGTACGGAAAGACTTCTATTGTCTCGACTTGTATTGTCTCGCAGGGTCTTCACAGCAGGTCGTTAAGTTCAGTACATGTAGACTGCTTAGTGTAAGAGTCTGATGCCATTTTGAAAAGTGATGCATGCTTACACTAAGCTATTGATATGCTGTATCAGCTAAGTTCTGTTGTAGAGAGGGTGGGGGATATCTCTTTTCTTTTCGTTTGTTTGTTTATATTTCTGTACTTTACTTAAAATGGTTTACTGTACTGTGTTCTTATATTTTTTCACTGGAAAATAAAAACAGTAAGAAGTCATGAAGTATCTACATTTTCTTCATGGGAGTTTATGACTGCATTGTGAGTTACAGTTAACTTGTAAGACATGCTGTTACATAAAACTGAAAAGGACAATAACAAAGAGTTGTTGGAAATTAGCATTTTGGAGTTTAAGAGTTGCTCTGGAGTGTCAGTTTGCAGTAATATTAGTGTTTTGATGATTTTTGTCACTTAAGAACATTGTAGAGTTTAGCCATATATTTGTTGGGTTTTTTTCATCTTCAGTTGGAGAAGATTTCAAGTGGGCTCTTGGAAGACTACGAGAAATACACTTTCGACGTTATAACCTTCGACGTAGTGCCCTGGAAATATTTCTTATCGACCAGACTAACTACTTCATCAATTTCTCAGAAAAGGTAGGGGACCTTGAGTACACCAGATGACATCTTTGTATAATCTGAAAGTATGCAGGGTTTTTAACTGATTCTGTCCATGATTTTTTCAGGCTCTGGACAGAATTATTTTTCCCTGTTCAGTTTTAGACCTGGGGTGCATCTATTTAATGCATTACTGTGAAGCTCTAAGTCACTCTTATCTGTATTGTCATATACCAAACTGATGGGAATAAATAGAGGAATGTGTTTATAACAATAACAATGACCTATAATCTGTTTGTACTGCATTCTCCTTCAGACAAAAACGAATGAGAAAAAAAAATTGCACAACAACTCTTTGAAAATTTCGACTTACCGCATTTTTTCAGCTCTACAAGTCCTTATAATCCATAGGAATCAACACAACATTGTAGCCATATCACCCTAGCACACATTTATGCAAGAATTTCACAAATTTAGCTGAATATCCTTCTTTGAAGGGCCTTTTTATTATACCAGGCCTCGTGTTGTTGACCCTTAGATCTAGCCTACATCACGACAACAAAACAACGATTTTTGCAAGAATTTCGCGCAGTTTCGATCGATATTGGCGCTCAGAGATTGAGGTCAGGTTTGTTTACAAGTTCTACTTCCTTTTGACAACTTAAAAAGTTGGAACTATGTTAAAAAGTGCACATTCGTTTCGGATTTCGTTGAGCCGCTCACAGCGGTCGAATGGACGCAGCGGAAAAACTCAGAGCCGCTGTCAGCGGCCGAATGGACGGAATCAGTTAAAGTATTCAATATCTGTTTTTATTTTGCAACAGTGTCCAGGGCCACATGAGTTCATGTTTGTTTTCTGACTGTAAAATTACTGATTAAAGATTTCCATTTGTGGTACTCTGAGGAGATTGATAATTATCTTCATTGGTGCCAGGACTTTCAGAGGAAGTTTTCTCTCTACATTTGGAAACATCTTAATCTCATCGAAATATAGTTCAAAGGAGATTTTTCAAAAGGGGGGATGCTGGTGAAATATTTTTGCTTAATATTTCCTTGCTCCTTTCTTCATTATCCTGTATCCCATCCCATACTCTCACCCTAGCAATGTAATCAAGGAAAAGGCACCTACAAGAGCAGAGCTATTTTATGCTACCCTTCTTTTTGGAATGATTACAGTGTGTAATGTATTTTTCTCCCTTCTAATATTTTTGGGAATAACTATATTATTGATATTGTGTCATTCCAGCGCATGCGGAACAAAATCTACAGCAACATCTTGAGTTTGCGGCCTCAGAATCTGATATACAAAGGGCAGAGGTCACCAGCTGATCTGTTGAGAGCTTCAGGCCTCACACAGGTATTGTCTCGTTAAGAGATCATTTCTGCTATGTTGCTTTCATTTTTCTGTATATGTGATTTTTGTCATTTTATTTTTTGAAAACTGAGCTCACTTGTGTGATGGTAACACAAGTCGGAGTTATAGGGTCTGTTTAGAGATTTCTTCACAATAATCGCTTTATCATCTCTTTGCTTCCTTCCCCTCCCCCTCCCCCCCCTTCTCTCTCTTGCTCTTTTTCTCTCTCTCTCTCTCTCTCCCTCTCCCTCTCCCTCTCCCTCTCTCCCTCTCCCTCTCTCCCTCTAAAACACACCTTTTTAATTACACTTTAAGCGGCAAACTATAACTAAAATGAAAGCAGGACTAGTATATCTTTTACCTGCAGTTAATTTGACTTTAATTTTGTTTTCATACTTTTATGATCCATAGCTATTTTTGTTGAAGACACCATTAAATCTTTTTGTTTTCCTCTCCTCCCCTGTAAAAAGAAATGGGTAAACCGGGAAATCTCCAACTTTGAGTACTTGATGCAACTGAACACAATTGCAGGGCGCACCTACAACGACTTGAGCCAGTACCCTGTGGTGAGTCAGTGACTTTCATGTTCATACGAATAGTTGTATAGATTTCCCTTTACTTTTAGCACCTTCAATATTGGTAGGTCCACTTCTTTTTTTTCATTTGTTTTCCCTTTTTGTCTCTCCCTTCATTTTGTTGTTTGTTTTTCCTTTTGTTCTTTCTTTTGTTTTTTCCTTTATTCATTCTTTAATTCTTTTATGTGTTCCTCCATTTGTTCTCTTTTCTTTGAGGGGTCCATGTTTCTTTTCTCTGCTCTGCCACTGTGATTCTTGTCCATGTGGAGCCATGCTGTTTCGGATTTAATTTTTTCATCTTTGTTTTATTTTTAAAATCTATTTATTTATTTTTGTTTAATTGACTGTCTCTTGCCTTCACTTTTCTTATTTGTTGTCACTGCATTCATCATTTGTGCTATATAATGACTTTAGGTATAGCCACACGCTCTGTCCATTTGGGTAAAAAGTCTTGTTTTTTGTCAATCATGACTTCTTCCTTAACTTCACTGGACTGAATCGTTTGTAATTTAGATTGTAATGATAAGTAAATGGATGTTCTAGTATGGTTAGCTTTAAACATTTCTTTTGAAACCTTTTTTTGTTGTTTTCTCTTTTCTTGTGCTTTTTGTTATAAAAATTTCCAATTGGCTTCTGGGGTTGGCCATTTCTGTACTGGCTCACTGTAAGCTACAAATCAACTATGACCACAGTAACAAGAGATGATTATGAGATTCATTCTTTTTGTCCTGCATCTATTCGCTTGTTTCTAATTGTCTGTCATACCAGTTTTTCAAAAGTAACAAAGGATCATTTTGGCTGGAAGATGCCTCTGGCAGGTCCTAATTTCTTTTCTTTCCCTCTGTTGTATTTATTTGCCTTTCTTCCTTGCATTTAATGGCAGTTTCTGTGTTGATATGCTCCTCTTTTCTCAAACAAACTTTAAATGTAACCTTTTTCAGTTTCCCTGGATTCTCACGGACTACACATCCAAGCATCTTGACTTGGAGAACCCTGCTGTGTTCAGAGATTTATCTAGACCCATTGGGATTGTCAATCCACGCAATGAAGACGAAGTGAGAGAGAAGTAAGTTGTTTATCTTTTCTTTTCAAGTCTTTTGCATCTTAAAAATGAATCTTCATTGACTTTCATGTGTTACCTTCTGAGAATATTTGTTAGGGGTCATTTTGTGCCTTCACGTTTTTTTTGTAGGACTAAGAATTAGCATGAATATTGCATGTTGGTACCTAATCGATAAATTTGAAAAGTTTCCAGACCCCTATCAGTTCCTGCTGCTCAGATCTCGCCATTTAGTTGCCAAAGCTATTTGATTTTTTTATGAATAACAAAAATTGTAAGATTTATCTGAAAGAAGTGGACAGGGTTACTAGTTTTACAAGTATTTGCCTGTAGTTCCTTTGTCTTTTTTTGTAATTTATGATGAATAGGGTTGCTCCCCTTTTATCCTTTTTTAATTTTGTTTTTTTGTAAGTGTTTTTACGGCGCTCGCAACTGCATATGAGCGGGCGGGACACATTAAACTTTTTCAGTTGGTAGGAAATTTTGAATTTTGCCCGGGTGGCGGCCGAAGCCTACTCTTATCGATTTTAGACCACCAAGGGATCTTTAACGTGCGCAACTTGCTCACAGGCCCTCCGAGATTTTTCGCCCTTGTCTGAGAAGGCTAGGTGTAGATCTTTCTTACCAGAAGATCAGGGGTGTGGCTGAAAGACAGCAGTAAGAAGAAGCCAAGAAGTAGCAGTAGAAAGGCTGTAGAAAGAATCAGGAGCTCAGAAGAGGGGGGCAAAGGAGATGAGGGAGTGGGGGCAGAAAGAGGAGACGAAAGCAGACGATAGAACATTACTAGAGAGCAGGAAAAGAGGTGAAAGGAGACAAATTTAGAGAAGAAAATTTTTCGGTCACAACCCGGATTCAAACCCGGGACCTTTGAATGAGAGGCCAACACCTTAACCTCTAGGCCACGAGAGCCCCCCCCCCCCCCCTTTTTTTTTAACTTCGTTTTACAATAACAAAGCAAAAACGTGTAAGTTTAAAAAATACTTAAACGTTTCGAGCAGCTTTGCTCTCTTGAACGCTCCATATAATATTCCCTCTATATAAGTCTGTGTCTATCATTCCCTGACTATGCTACTTGTGATTCGGTTATTTGTCCTCCCCAGATACGACACTTTTGAGGACCCATCAGGAATGATTGAGAAGTTCCATTATGGCACCCACTACAGCAACGCAGCCAGTGTCATGCATTACTTGGTGCGAGTTGAGCCCTTTACCTCTCTGCACATAGAGCTTCAGAGTGGAAAGTGAGAAGCTTTTTTCAGTGTGCTAATGTTACGTTTTCTTTTTGATTTAGTTTGGTTTTTGTATGCCTTTTAGAAACTATGTTATAGCAGTGTCTGTGCAATGTGTTGGAAATTTGTCTTTTACTTTTGTCTTTGAACTCCCGCTGTGTCATGCGGAGCCCCAAAAGTGTTTGAGCATCGACGGTAATATTATGCACAGTGACTGAGACTTCCTCCAAGACAGGGAACTGTTGAAGTTGATGGAAGGTGGCTCTTAGTGAGAGGGTGTGAATAAAGCTTCTGTCCTCGGCGTAATGCATTTTTGGACTGGGCAGTTGTTGTGAGATGATAAATGAGAGAGGAGAGATGCATGCACCCTGAAATTATAGGCAACGAAGAACGAAGGTTGCTTTTAGAGGAAAAGATTACTGTTAAAAGGGTTTATTTATTACTGAAAAATTCCTCAACTCAAGCTTACGCTGCTGTGAGGCAGAGGTTGCTCTTATCTGGGTTGTTGTTAAATGGACACCATTGCATATCAAAATTAATGGTTACTTTTCCTATGAAAACCAAAATGGAGGTCACAGCACACTTTTGATCAGATTCTACCTTGAAGGGTTTCCACCTTACTAAAAGATGTTCTTCGCAAGTCTTGTGCTTTGTATTCATAATGTACTCTCATGTTCCAACCTTCTTCTCTCTTTCTCATATCTTACTACACCTCATATGTAGAAAAGTCAATGTTCACACTCAGAAATGTATGCAGATGCTCATATACAGTGGAGTCCGCTTAAATCAAAATTTGTGGGACTGCTGGGTTTTCTTCTGTTTAGCTGGGTTTTCAGTTTTAACTCTTTTTATCCTAGCCGTCCCGCCACGGACTCTGTACCAGTCCTGGGGCCGCCGTGCCGTGTGAGTCAGAAGTCAGTGCGTACAGTTCAAAGTGGTATATTTCTTTCGTTTACTCTAAGGTTTTAAGGAAATTTGGCAGTTATGTTAGAGATTGAATGTAGTTTTTGTAAATGTATGTGGTTAGGAAATACACCAATAGCACAATGTACATTTTGAGGTGTATTACGCCCTCGAACTTGACCCTGATTGCCGCGCCCACGACGTCCCATTGGATTTTATAGATCTAGATCTAGATCTAGATCTAGCCCTACCCATCGAGCACAAATTCCAGCTGACCCCTTCACCATGATCTGAATCGCTATTAGATGAGTCTAAGTCCTGTTTCTTATCATCAACAACGGAATTTACGGCTCTTATTTCAGAGTCACTTTCATCAAATTAGTATCATTCCCCCTCACAACCCAGCGCTACTTCAAAAAGAACTTCGTCCGTCGTGAATGTGCGTTTTCGAGATATCGTTCAAGCTTCTACACCCATCAAAAACAAAGAAACTACTGTTCATTGGAAAATTAAAATATTCAGACAGAGCTAGCATCGCCGTATTTGCGTATTTTGGTAATTACAAGCAGAACTAGCTTCTTTGACGTGACCGTATCGCTGTTCCGAGAATACTCGTAGCCCGGACTGGTCCTCGTTACGAGTATACTCGTAGCCCGGATAAAAAAAGTTAAAGAGGCTACTTAAATAGAGGGAAAAAAATGGGGGGATTTTGGTTTCTTTGGATTTACTGCTGTTTTTGGATTTACTGTGTTTGATTTAGCAGACTCTAGTGTAATTTATTTTGTTCATGTCTTCAGGTTTGATGTTGCCGACCGCCAGTTCCACTCCATCCCAGGCAGCTTCGCCTCTCTCATGGAGAACCCCAATGATGTGAAGGAACTGATTCCAGAGTTCTTTTACTTCCCAGAGTTCCTAGTCAACTTTAATGGTGAGGGTTTAAGACTTTAAATATTGGGTTATCCTGTAAACTTGTTGTTTCGCATTGTTTGAAAATTTAGGAAAGAACATTCAGTGGCGTCTTTAGGCCATTCCCAAAGGGGGGACATTTCTCGTTCATGCACAGGAGATTTGTTAATGGGCTGATTCATCATGTCACGCTCATAACTGTGCCTGATCTACAACAGGGAACTGCTGCTTTTTCTTTCCTAATCCTTACTATTGTCATTTTCCTCTACTTTTTTTGTATGTTTATCTCCCTCTTGTGACCTGCTATTTCTGGGGTGCCTTGATAGTCGAAGCAGACTTTGTCCTGTTGAAGCTAGAGAGGTGAGCAGAGTAAGTCTGATTCCCTGTAAAGACTTCTCTGTTGACACCCACCCCTTGGCGCTCATTAGACCTTATGCAGTTGCGAGCGCCGTAAAACCCTCTACTAAAACTTAAACATTCAGTGGGAAAAAAAGTATTGATAACTTACATTACAATTACCTAGAGCTAATTCAAAATTACAGATATTATTGGTCGCTCTGATATAAGCATGTTGCTCGAGCACCACCTCTCCCCCCCCCCCCCCGGCACTAAAGTGCTCCCATAATTACTCTGTCCTCACAATTTTGTGACTTTGTTTTTGAACCTCTGCACCTAGAAACTTGGACTCTCAGGGACAGAGGCAAATGGGCTGTCTTGTATTAACTGACGGTGCCTGCCTGTGCACAGAAACTGTATTCTTTATTTCATCCTTTCATTTTTGACAGGCTTTGACCTAGGCAAGCTTCAGATCACCAAAGAGCCTGTCAATGATGTGAAGCTTCCGCCATGGGCCAGCACTCCTGAGGAGTTCATCTACAAACACAGACAGGCACTGGTAAGTCGTTTAACTTTTTATTTGCTGGAGTAAGTGAGTACTCAACTGTCTACTTTTAGTCTATTCCTGGTGATATGTGTCTGTAATCTTGTGGATTCGTCATGAACTAATGCTAATCTGAACATCTTTCCTCTTTTGACCCTTAGATTTCATAATCAGTGAATTATGAACACTATGCTTGGTTTACTGAATTTTGCTATGTTCTAAATTCACCTTTGAACAATTTTGGAACTCTGAATTGTATTTACCTAGTGCATGTTAGCGCAGTTTGATTTGAAATCGCTTCCTTACTTATTTTTTTAATGAAAAATTTGTTACCTGAAATATTTCATTTTTAAAATGTTTTTGATTCACTTGTTTTAAAAGATATGTGTTTTTGGAGCTTTGTCCAAACTTTATAGCTCTACCAATTTTCAAAACTTTGAACCAATCTACACAACAATTTTCAGTATGTTGACTGCTCTGTGTAAGACTCCATCATTCCTCCCTTTTGTAAAGGGCAGATGGTGAAGACAAACATTAAGCTGTCTATAAATTATTTGGACTGCGGATCGAAAAGAAAGAAAGCCATCAATTTTTTAAAGTAGTGTCATGTTATAGTTAAAACATTGTTTCTGTACCGGTAGGAAAGCGAGTATGTCTCCTCCCAACTTCACAACTGGATCGATCTCATCTTTGGCTACAAACAGAAGGGGCCTGCAGCAGCTGAGGCCCTCAATGTCTTCTACTATGTCACCTATGAAGGTATTTTATTCATTCGTTTTCCCATCTTTCATCCTGATATTGGGTATAGGCAGCCAAGAAGGGCTCTCCACTTGCCTCCTGTTCTGAGCTATCTTCTCCACCTCCAGCCAAGAGTGTGCCACATGCCCGAGTTCTGCCTCTAGATTTCACTCCCAGGTGGAACTTGGCATTCTTCTCTTTGTCCTTTCCTGGGACGTCCATCTTAGGCTTTGTATTTTTACGTTGTGGGCTGGCTTCCTCAGTGTGGGTCCAATCCTTCGCCACCTTCTGTTCTTGATCTCACGATGAATTGGCTATTGCTTTGCTCACAATTGATCCTGACAACAAACAGAAGAGGCGGCAGCAGTGGTGTGGCTCTCAATTTGTTCTACTATGTCTTCTATGAAGCTCATCAGTGAGCACATGTCTCATCTAATGTGATTTCAGAGATAAAATTAATGAGAAAATGGCCGCTAAAGTTTGGCGACTTCCAGAACTTGAGAGTCCTTAGAAACTGCACACTTTCATTCTTGTACCTTAAATCAACATTTTTCAGTTAAATCCACACGGAAATGTGTTTTTCAATGGACCTTAAAGGTGTTGAGTCAAAAAACAAAAATTTGATATAAATTAACAAGCAGACAGAGAAATGCCAGTTTCTTTGATTTCATTATTTTGAAAAGCACCTCATTTCACCACGATGCCTCACATATCATTATCCATTGTGATGTTACAGTATGTATATATGCTTGTGAGTTAATGTTCATGTAAAGGGTGTTTGTTTGCATGTTCGTTCTTTTGTGTTTTGTGTTGAGATGAAAATATTGTAAAGCAGGTAGCGCTGTATTGTTCATGAGTAGACACTATATAAATTCTGCATGATTATTATTATTATTGTGTATGTAAAGATTATGAGGGTATTTTAAATGGAATTAAACTGTATATATCCATGTAGGAGACTTTGATATTCAATGTTTTGAGTCCAGGTCCCATGAGACATGGGTAATCAGAGTACCTGTTCTCCCTTGAGTACATAACTAGATTAGCACCACTTCATGCAAGCTTGCATTTTGAAGGGTATATTTAACGCACTCTGGTCCCTCATGAGCAGGTGCCATGCAGACAATGTTTTGGTGTGCTGTTTTTTTGTTTTAGTATGATTTTTTGGGGCACTTGCAACACAATCGGGTCATATAAGTGCTGAAGGGTAGAGTGCAAAGAGTAACAAACACAAAAAAGGAAAAATATAAAAGCATGGTTGGTTTGGTTAAGAATCTGTAGTGCTTTTTCTGACAGAATGCTTACATGATCTGACGATCCAATCCCTATTTTGATTGATTTTATCATTAACACTTACCATCAGAGCCTTTTGTGGATGTACAGCTATGAACCTTGTCTTATTCATACTTTCAACATTTGGGGTGATTAAGAAGAGCCTGTCTTGCTCTGAGAACTTTTGCATACCAAGGGTGATGATGATAAGGAGGGGAAGTGATCGCTGTTGTGAGTTCTGATGAATGAAAAGTGTAACAAATGTGTTTCTGTTTTCCTCCTTCTTTGACCTTGCTGACACCATTTTTTGGTTTTAGTTTTGAGTGTTACAGCATTTGCAACACAATTAGGTGATCTAAGTGCCAAAGTCTGGAAGTGTTATTTGAAAGTAACGTATAAAGAAAAGACAGAGGAGAGATAAGGACAATACATGATTGATAGAAAAGAAGGAGCAAACCACGCGCCAGCCACCCACTGACACCATCCAGCCTTATGTGATTTTTGTTTCAGAATACGTGTCCTTTCCATACCTCCTGATCCTCTCTTCACCAATTGCAACATTGTCTGTTTTCTAACAGGAGCTGTTGATCTTGATGCGATACAAGACCCGAAAGAGCGGGCCTCGGTTGAGGGAATGATCCGGAACTTTGGTCAAACTCCATCTCAGCTGCTTAAGGTAGGGCTTTTGTGTTTTCAGCCTTCACATGTTTCCACTGAAGGGAGAAGTGATTGAACTGACAAAGTTATTACTGTCTGCTTGTTTTCTTAGATGTCTTTTCCCCTCCCTCTTCTATCTGTCTGTTTTGATTTTCCCTAAACTAAGTGACTTATCTTGTTAATATGTTCTTTTCTTTACTCAAACATTCCTCTTTTTTTTGTTTGTCAATCTGACTTTTTCTCTTCTCTATATATTCATTTGTGGGTCAGTATGCTTCTCTTTACTCAAATAGTAACTAGTTAACTCATTCCCTGCATATTATTTTCGGTTTGTAGACAAATTTTTTTTCGGGAGGGCGAATGAGACGATGACTATTGGGCAGTTAAAAGGTTTTGGGGCTACAAATTCAAATAAATATCAATGTATTATATACCAATATTTTCAGTATGGTTTGTAGAATATATCTGTAATGTTTATTTATGTATTTTTCTACTTTGGTTCCTGTAAGAGACGATTATGCAACACAATTTTGATTGGATGCGGATAAAATTTGAAAATAAAAAATTTATAATCTTTGCTGAAACTCAAAAAATTTGTTTGCACCTAGTCAAATGATACATCAAAATAACCATAAATGAATATAGAACTGGAAAATATTGAAAAGTTTGCAGTTATTTACCTACATTCCATAATATTTGTACATTTTGAACATAACATCCGATATTGAAAAAAAATAAAAAATTGTTATAATCTTGAAAAACGATCACAAACAGAAAAAACCCCACTCATATCTTATATGGAATTATTCAGAATTGCATTTGGAATAAAACTATACATGTTTTGAGTGGCATTTTTTGTGTAATATCATCAAAAAGTAATGATTTCGTGTAGAAAAAAATATCTTGACAATTTAGATCTAGAGCTAGATCTAGATCTAGCACTCTAAAATATTGATTTCTCAATAACAGTGCATTGTCAATATGAGTCCAATCGTATCAATATTATATAAAAGAGTCCTACATTTCTTTAGTGCGCAAAATAATGATAAATTTTGTTGTGTAAAATTACTAAGACTGGTGTCCGGGCTATAATTTTGGCATCGCGATAAAACAAAGTCGAATAAACTACGAAATCGCGTTTCAAAACTGAATCTAAATTTCCGATTTTCAGTGGAAATGCTTGACCCGGAAGTCAACATTATATTATGACCTTTATTTTAACATGGATATGTGGATTGGAATAGAATCCAAGCTAAAATTGAAGATCGGCTCGAGCCGCCGGGGGCGGCTCAGCGTACTGACAGCACATTAGCCGCGCTGCCCCCCACGGCTCGGCTATCGAATTAGTTAAAAAGGCTTACCCTTGCGGAGTAGTTGCCATTTGGAATGTCGCTATTTGTGCTGTTATTACTCTATATTTCTCTGCAATCCACTTTCTTCTCTATATCTATACACTCAGGAACCACACCCACATCGACTGACTTTTGATGAAGCGGTGGCCCGTACAGCCAAATCCCTTAAGCCGATGAGCGTCTTTTACTTCCTCAAAGATTTGAAACCTTTCTTCGTCGAGGTGAGTTTCATGACTGTCATATTGTTCATGCTTCCCCACTAAAACTGTTCTCATTTGCACTTGACAGCCTAGGTTGAGCTATACTGAAATATTCTGATTATGCTTCCTGTCCTTTAGAGATTATGATCTACCACCATATGTCTCGGGGACCATTTTATTGTTGATAAACGCAAAACGTTAAAAACTTATAGTTAAGTCTTTCTGGTAAATTGCTGTTCATAAGTCTGCTTCAAATTGATCATCTCGCTGTGAGAGAACACTGTTTTGTTTTGTTAGGGGTTTTTTTTTTTGAGGGGGGGAGGGTCTTTTTTTTGTTGTTGAGGATTATGATAATTTAGCTTTGGAAATCCATCTTTGATAATTGAATGCAAGATGAATGTCTGAACCCCTAATTCAAACTTTTCACGTTTAAAAGCATATAAAAAAGAGATCTAATTTTAAAATATTAAAATCTGTAGAAGATTTCATGTTAACTTACTGCCCATACAATTCCATGAACTTGTTTCAAGAACCACGTCGCCGACTGAGGAAGGTATGGTAAAGAATACTTATTGCTTGTAACACTCTTAAACACAAGCATGCTCTTTAGCCCACTCACAAGTAACAACAAAGTCGTACAATTTTGTTTTGACTGATGTTTTGTTTCTGTTTGCCATGGCTTTTCATTTCAGGTGTCAAATGACCTTGACCCCTTGGTGTATGTGAACATTCCACGAAGTCAGCCACGTTCCATTTTGCAACAGGGAATGCCTGATAGTTTGGTGAGTAGTTGCTTTTATAGTTGTTTAAGTTGAACTTCTTTTCCGGCTTTCCTCTTAGCTTAATGAGCAAGGTTGATGGATGCTCTTTGGTGTAGCCTGAGTCTTGCACTTCTTTCCAGTGATATTGTGTGTTGATCTGTTGTATGAAATATGGCCGTTATGTGAATTTGTTGTATAAACTTCTTTGCCTCTCTTGACCCATCTTGTTTGAGGCATTCTTGTGAATGCTTTTAAATTCTGTTGACAGTAAGGTGGAAGACCGGGTTTGGCTTGAAAGGACAGTAGTTGACTACTGCAGTCCTGTTTTGAGTGGGTGGTTGGTGGGTGCTCTGGTGTGGTTTGCTTCTTCTTTCCTATCAAACATCTATCGTCCTTATCTCCCGTCCTTTTTTATGTTTGTTACTCTCTTGTAACACCTCTAATCTTCTGGCGCTCATATGACCTTATGCAGTTGCGAGCACCGTAAAATCTCTACTAAAACAAACTAGTCCTGTGTTGTGAGGAGTCAAATAAGTTTACCGGAAATAGTTGGAGTACTTTTGTGTAAGGTATATAAATGTAGTGGTTGTCGATTACTTTTGTGTAAGGTATATAAATGTAGTGGTTGTCGATTACTTTTGTGCAAGGTATATAAATGTAGTGGTTGTCGATTACTTTTGTGCAAGGTATATAAATGTAGTGGTTGTCGATTACTTTTGTGCAAGGTATATAAATGTAGTGGTTGTCGATTACTTTTGTGCAAGGTATATAAATGTAGTGGTTGTCGATTACTTTTGTGCAAGGTATATAAATGTAGTGGTTGTCGATTACTTTTGTGCAAGGTATATAAATGTATTGGTTGTCGATTACTTTTGTGCAAGGTATATAAATGTAGTGGTTGTCGATTACTTTTGTGTAAGGTATATAAATGTAGTGGTTGTCGATTACTTTTGTGCAAGGTATATAAATGTAGTGGTTGTCGATTACTTTTGTGCAAGGTATATAAATGTAGTGGTTGTCGATTACTTTTGTGCAAGGTATATAAATGTAGTGGTTGTCGATTTTCCATGGTTGAGGGTGGAAGAACAGATAGATTTATATAGTTAACATAAGGCCGCATAGTCTGCTAGTTTGTGAAATGAGGATCAGCTTCCAAGATTTCATGATTGTCCTAAACTTTACTGTCCTGTCCCAGAAAAGGCACCACATGAGGCAGCATTCCCAGTGCTGCTCAGTCACAGCATGTTTCATAGTTATATTTGATTGACTTGAAACGTAGGTTCTGTAAAAATGAAGTTATGTAAAGATTTGCAATCAGTCGGAGGTATATGGTTTACATTTTCCTTTCACAGATATCAGTAACAGAAGATGGTGTCATTGGTATACATGGATGGCTGTCCTATGACAAATCAATACCCAATTTCTACACATTTGACAAGGATGCTACCATGCTCAGTGCTAAGTAAGTATCACGTTCCTTCTGAATATGTTTCTAAAAAAAATCAGTTGTGTTCTTTTCTTTCATCAACAGTGTTTCTGGTAATGAAGTCAGAACATTTTGTCAGCAGTTGCATGCAGTTTTGGAGATTTGTGTCCCTTTCTATCTGGGCAGTAGACTCTTTTTTGTTGTTGCTTGTAAGTTGTTGAACCCCTGATCAAACATCTTGCTTTTGATAGTAAATATAACTGTATGAACACCTAGGTCATGGCCATTGCTGTCTTGCAGCTGTCCAATTACATAATTTTATCCAACACAGAAAAGGACAAAAATTGTTTTTAACAAATGCAGTTGCAGGTACAATTGTATCACTTGACTCCATTGATTGCCCTCAGAATTGTGAGAATAATGATAATAATATAGCTTAGAAATTTTTCTCAAAAGAGAGAGTTTGAATGTGACAAGGAGATTGTTTGCTCACTTTCTGTTTGAATACTTTTTAGGAAACTTAATGAACTTAGAGATTGTTTATGAATCACTGACCTTTACATTGTAGTGAAAAAAGCATTTTGATTTTGCATCTCTATTGAGTGGCGCTGCTCATATCAGCATGTTTCAGTTGTTTCTGTTTGTGGGTGGTTGGCAGGTGCTCTTGTGTGGTTTGCTCTTTCTTTTCTATCAATCAAATATCTATTAACCTTTTATGTCCTCCTATTTTTTGTTTGTTACTCTCTAGTAACGCCTCTAATCTTCGTCACTTATATGACCTAATTGTGTTGCAAATGCTATAAGACTCGTACTAAAACAAGTTTTTGTTGATTGCTTCATCTATCAGGACCAAAAGAAGACTGGCTGCCCCCTTTTCTCCTGGTCTGCGAGTGAGTGCCAAGCTGTTTGTCGTGTCCCATGATGCCAAGCTTCTGTTCAGCGCAGGCTACTGGGACAACAGTCTACAGGTGTACAGCCTAGGCCGGCCCAAGCTCATCAATCATATTATCAGACATATTGGTGAGTGTTTTAGTTGTTTGGTGAAAGTTTTACTGCGCTCGCAACTCAAATAGTTCATATGAACGTGCTGATGGTCTCAAGTGTGTTATTTTCTTGTTAGTTTGTAGCACAGTTTGGTGATTGTGCTTGGCAGAACATTTGATTTCTCAGTGATGTGGTTCCTGGAATTATCTGTGTAAAATTTGACCTTACTCAAAATTTTTAGAGAAGATGAACAGTAGGCAGGCAAACATTTAGAAGAGCCCTATGCAGAAGGAAATATGCTTGTGAGAACACTCTTACATAATAGAACTAAAACACTTGTATTTGTTCATGCAACTCTTAAACTGATTTCAAATCATTTTGTATTTAAGTATCAAACTATGAATCTGAACTTAGGTTACGTTTTGACGTTGTAACATTGAAGTGAGAATATGATTTCAGCCTTTTAAAATAAATGTTTGAGTCATCCTTCAAATTTTTGTGACATCCTCATCCTTCATTCTGTTATTGTGCTGTTGTGACCCTTATCATGATAATGTTCTTGGGCTTTGGTGACCATTGTCTTTGGCCTATGTGGTCGCTGTGGAGCAGTAGGCTCCTAACTGAACTCACTCCCAGACTTAAAGGTTTGAATTGAGGTAAAGTCTGAAGGCTGGGCCTGTGCCCTGCCTCCTGTTCTCACAGTTTCGTTTTGTGTTATGGCATCTGCATTTACTGGCTACCTGTGATCTATCACTTTCAAAGTGTGTAGTGTGTTTTATGTTTAACAGAGTGTTCAATTTTTCAGAAGAGCAGTCATATTGATGTGTGTGTTCTGGGATTTAAAAAATTTGTTTCCAAGTCTACTTTCGTTGATCCATTTTCTTTTATAAAAAATGTGCAAAAGAGTTTTGGTTAGCATGTTGTGATAGACAAGAGTAGTCAACGTTTTTGTTGTCTTCCAGACATTGTTACCTGCCTGGCTTTGGACAATTGTGGACGCCATCTTGTCACAGGCTCAAGAGACACAACTTGTATGGTGTGGGAAATCGTGCAGCAGGTATGTAGATTTTCTTATATTTTGCCGTTGTTGTTTGAATCACAGTGCTTGCTGCCTCTAAAAAAATAGTCTGTTGTAAAAAGTTTTTATCTGAAATGATCCTTTTCCTAGGTATATTTGAAATGAAATTCAACAGTCTTCATTGTAGGAATAATCCCTTTACTTTCTTTATCAACTACGTATGAGGCTGTGACTTGACCCCTAGTCTTCCCTGTCTCTTTTCCTTTCCAAGAGACCTGTGTTTGAAAAGATATCAGCAAAATATTTAATAATACACAACCGTGTACTATTTCAAAACTGGTTTATGCCGAAATAACACCTCCCTTTTATCACAACAAGGAATAACTTTCAGAGACTTCCACTTTCTACTGCTTTGCTTTGGTGGTTGCTGAATTGAAATTGATTTGTACTCTTGACTACAACACAAAGCAGTAGAATTCGTCCTTGTTGGTGCATGTGTTTCCCAGATTCTTCTTTCTTGTCTTTTATTTTTTTACTGAAAAGATGTACATGTTTCACAGAGCATGTGTGTTGTTCTGAATTGTTTCCCAGGCTGGAGTGAGTGTGAACCTGAATCCAAAACCGCTGCAGACCCTGTACGGTCATGACTCAGAGGTAACTGCTGTCCACATCTCCACCGAGCTTGATCTAGTGGTTAGCGCATCCAAGGTGAGAACTTTTTTTGGGTTTGTTTGGGTCATTGATTAGTCTCTCTTTCTCACTCCCTACTGGCACTGTGGCGTCATAAGTGGTCAGTGATGCCGACAGCACGCAGGAACTCAAAACTCGCTCGTGGGGGGGGGGGGGGGGGGATGTATTGATTTGTGTCAGAGTATATAGGCTCTTAAGGTTTCCTTTTTTTTTTAAGATCAAGAATGAGGACATTTATGTAAAGATTAATGTGTAAAGGGCTAAGAACGTATAAATGGAAATTCAACTAAAGTGTATCCATGTGTACGTGATGTGTTTTCCGTAATGCGTGATGCGTATTCGAATGATCGAGGCATCGTTCCAGTGCGCATCACGCCGGTATATGGACACCGGAAGCAAAAAATTCCAGAAGATTTACAAGAACTACGTGTTTCTGCTGTTTCTTTTTCATCAAGCTAATATCAGAAAATGCCGCAAAATTTCGTCCCAGATGATGTTCTTGATCAATTAATTGATCTTGTGAGGCGAAATTCTGCCATTTTTTTATCTGTCGAAGATGGACGACAAGGATGCTGTCAAGATTTCCAATACATAG